AAACTTAGTGGAATGCGTTAAAAACACACTGCACCGGGGGCGCTAGTGAGCAGCCAACCAAGATGGCCGCAATCTGATTGAGCTCCACTACACCCGGACACGAACCTCATGAGCTTGAAACCAATTTGGAACCTTAAAACACACCCGCCTAGCGGCACAACCCCCGGAAAGGCTGGGGATCATAAATGAGAAGAAACTACAATAATACCCGCAACCGTTCCCGCGGGGAACTTCGGCCTCAGCACGCACCCCGGCCAAAATGGCGTCGTCCCCTGCAGGGCCGAACTCGCAGCCGTCCTCACAGGATTCGATTGGGGACGCAGACCGCGCATCCAACGCCAGCACATCCTCACTTGTGCCGAGTCATCAACCGGAACCAGGCTGCAGAGATTCTGACCTCCTGGACCGATTCAAGATCCTGCTCCAGAAGGAGCTGAGAACGGCCACGGACAAACTGGCGGCGCAGCTCTCACGGGATATCAAGGAGCTGGGTACCAGGATACACGCAGTGGAGGACAAGATGGATGATGTGGTCAGTATTGCAGGCTTCTTGGCTATACTGAGAACATGCCGTGACTGATACGCATCAGTTCATCAGGTGACTATACAACTGTATCCTCATCTCCCATGCCCAACTACCCCTGGGGACATGTCTCAGTAACCCTTCAGCATGCAGATCCAGGGAAATGGCGGAGACGTCCCTACCTTACGCAGAAGAGACCTGCAATCCGCAGGGTACAAGAATGTGGGATGGTGCCCTCCCGGGGTGAGCCCGACAGGTAAGATACCTGTTATTAATGGGCAAACTCATGGACATGGACATTACCATAGTCTCCTACTACGCGCCAAACTCAAGGCAGACTCGCTTCTTCACTCACCTACTGGATGTGGTCGAGAGACATAAGACGGGCACCCTGCTGGTGATGGGAGACTCCAACCTAGTCCTCAACCACAAATTAGATAGACACTCCTCGAGCTCTAAAACAAAATCCCTACCCACAGACCGTAGCGAAACTAACCTCTTTAATTCCCTTCTATCGGAACATACCCTAATAGATTGTTGGCGGGAGAAGAACCCCACGGCTAAAGATTTCACCTTTTATTCTAACCCCCATGACAGCTTCTCCCGTATCGACCACATATTTTCTACTCAGTCCTTTCTCCCTAGACTAAAGTCGTCCAAAATACTTTCTACTCCTTGGTCTGATCACTCCCCAATCCTCCTTGAATGCACATCTTTATCCTCTAGCCCAACCTCCTACACCTGGCGCTTAAACGACTCTCTACTCACGTTCGCAGATTCGGCGACGAGTGTACGGGAACACATCCTCCAATACTTTTCGGAAAATGGGGGATCAGTAACATCACCAATCTCCCTCTGGGAAGCCCACAAAGTGACCCTTAGGGGGGATCTTATTCGCCTAGCTTCCCGCAAAAAGAGGGAGCGGGAGAATAAAATCCAATCCCTATACGCTGAATTAGAATCCCTGGATACGGCCTGGAAAGCCACGCCTTCAGCCAATTTGCGCCAACAGGTAGCCTCAGTAAAAGTGGAACTGAATCTTCTTCTGAACGACAAAGTTGAGAAGCAGCTTCGATGGGCAAAACACTCCTTCTATGCAAGATCAAACAAACCAGGTTCTATGTTAGCTAACTTACTAAATGCAAAGCCCAGAGGAGCTAAACCAATTAAACTGCGGCTCTCCAATGGCTCCCTGACAGCAAACCCCTCCCACGTAGTATCCAAATTCGCACGCATCTTGCGCAAACTATATAGCACCCCGCCTAAATTTGACATTCACAAAGCGGATTTATTATTCGCTGATTTCCCCTTGGGCACCCTGTCTAGATCCATGGTGGAGGGATTGGAGGCTGAAATCACTGAGGCGGAGGTGTTAGCAGCCATCAAAACTCTCAAACCAAATAAATCGCCGGGGCCAGATGGCTTCACGGCCCTGTACTACAAAACATTTCAAGACATTCTAGCCCCCCATCTGGTGGCGCTATTCAACCATCTTTCCGAGGGTGGGAAACTAAATCCCTCCTCCCTAGCAGCTCAGGTGGTAATGCTCCCAAAACCAGGAAAGGGTGACACTGACCCGCATAACTATAGGCCTATATCCCTATTAAATGTAGACACCTAACTACTCTCCAAAATTCTGGCCAATAGGATAAATAATTTATTGGAAACACTAATTCACAGAGACCAAGTAGGCTTTGTTCCCCATCGCCAAGCCACGGACAATACCAGAAAGGTGATTCAAATAATACACCATATGCAACACAACAAAATACCGGGCATGTTGTTATCCCTAGACATCCAAAAGGCCTTTGATAACGTCTCCTGGGACTACCTGAGCTACATTCTAGGGAGGTGGGGATTTCCCCCATTCTTCATGAGATGGCTAGAGGCCCTATATGATAAGCCCTCCGCCACGGTGCGCTACCTCCAGTGTTCTTCTCCTTCGACTGGTGGAAATCCAAAAACATAACACATTTACACGACCTCATACAAAACTAGCGGATACGCACCTGGGACTCGATAAAGGCGGACTCCCACACACCCCCTTCGGAATTCTTCCGATACCTACAAATCAGACACTTGGCGGAATTTGTGCTTGCCGGCAGGGTGCCCACCACCCGACTCTCCTTGATGGAACACATATGCTACCACACCCCTTTGCAGCCCAAATTGATATCCATATTATATGCTCAGCTGAATTTAAATCAAAGCAACTCGATCCATAATTATGTTGCAGCTTGGGACAAAGATTTACGGGGAAAAATCACTGATATGGAATGGTAACAAATCTGGGCCTCGGCGGCATCATGTACCATCAACATCACCTCACTAGAAACAGCATACAAATCTATGATGCGGTGGTACATGGTGCCAGCTCGACTGGCACATTCCCACCCCCAACAGTCAGCCAAATGCTTCAGGGGTTGTGACGCGAAGGGGGATGTAATGCACATCTGGTGGACGTGTCCAATGGTACACCGTTTCTGGATCAAAACATTCAGGCTACTGAACTCAGTTCTTCACACAAATATACATAGGGACCCGAAGTTTGCCCTGTTACACCTTAAACCTCCGAAGCTCACGAGCACTCAGCAGAAACTAGCAGTATTTATATTTCTAGCCGCAAAACAAACTATAGCACAGGCATGGAGGAAACAGCAGATTCCCTTTAGTGGGGTTGGCAGAAGGGTTGATTCATTCTTTATTAATGAGAAATTATCCAGTGTCCTGGCGGACACCCAAAATAAATTTCGGAAGGTCTGGGACCCCTGGTTGGCATATACACATCCAAATATACTGCCCACGAGCTTAACGTCAGTCTGAGTGTACACCCTAGCTTGGGGGTATTACCCCGCTACCACAGATCCCCCCCCCCCACCTACCCCTCTTTTTCTTCTGTTCTTTATTCCTTTCTCTCAATCTTGGTTGTCTAGATATGGCATTTTGGCCTCTCCGATAAACACCTTAGGGATGCTTACTTATTTTGTTAGACCTTTAAAGCTATTTATAAACAACATGGCAAACAAATTGCAATTGCAGCAGACAAAATGACTGTATCTCATGCCTTATACCTGCAACTGTATTGTGTGAGTTTTATTTTTATGTCACAAATAATAAAAACTATTTTAGTTAATAAAAACACACCATGACCAAGTTTGCAGATCTGGTCATGGTGTGAACATGCCCTCAAACATTATAGTGCTGCGCAGCCTTTTCTTCTAATCCTGCAGTTGTGGAGCGTGGGCAGCTCCTGGCAAGCATACACATCTAACAAGGAGCGGTGAAGCTCTTTTTTTGTCTATATAAGGAGAAAGTATTTTGACTTTGCTATGACTTTCCTGATCTTCCACTAGCTACAGCTAGCATTTGCAGAAGATCAGCAATGGCAGCACCCACACTGGTCTAATTGCAGGTGTTCTTTTGTGTATTAAAAACACATGCAAAAATGTGTTTTCAGACTTGTCTTGCTTGTTTTAGGCGCAGAAATTCCAACATAAGTAACTTTTATTGTATGTTTTATGCAGTTATCACACCGAATACAGTAAATTTAACTTCAGTATAGCACAAAAAGCATGGAGAATTCAGACACAAATGCAAAATGTTTTTAAAGGCCGTAGCATAAACAGTTAGACTAGTTGGAAGTATACACACATCCTATTGTACCACATCACCCTCTAGACTTCTCTGACCCATTCAAATCTGTGAAAAAAATGGTCTGGCACGGTCTTCACACATGCAGCACTCTGGAGGCAAACCTGTCATGTGAAGGTCTTATTACATTGGGGTATCAAAAATCAAACAGAAAAGAAACAACTGACCGTTTCAGAAAAGGCATCGCAGCAATTCTTGCATTACAATGAAACTTTGTGAAATGCAAGCTTCAAATATTGCATCCTAAAGCTAAAAAGTAGCAGACTATTCAAGTGATATGGTTTTAAAGAAACCTCCATCATGAAGCACTAGCAGCAAAGCTGGATGAACTGATACAGCCAGTGGCAGATATTTCTGCAGGCTATACGAACTGTGCTGGGATTTGAGTCAGAGTCTGAGAATCAATGCATTTTGATGGTACAGATACCAAGAAAGGTGCCTCTTGGCAACTGCTAGTTATCTTTTGTAGCCGCAAGCACTCACAAAGAAAATGTATCATACTTTCAGTTTTTCCTCCAGGGATGATTATTACATACGTCACACATATCAAATAAACAGGAAATTTCCTTAACGATAAGGATGGAATCTTTGATGGTCAGAATTATAGTTATGGTGTCTGTCCTGGTGATGGTGAGAGCGCTCCTGTCTGTATTGGTGGTGGCTGTTACCCCATCCGCTACCTCCATGGTGCTGGTTATAGCTGTTGTAGGAGTCACGTCTATTATCCCAGTTCCGTTGACGTCTATTATCTCGATACCTGTAAACCAAATGAAATAATTCTACGTTTAAAAACAATTAGGCAATGTTTAAAGCTTTTACAGCTACTCACTGACCATTAAATGGAAGGACAGACAAAATATTATGTTTTTGCACTCTGTAGGAAGCTCATCAATAAATTCTAATGATACCATTCATTTTGCACAGTATTGCATGTAAAATGTGTTTCTCGATTTCACATATTATTAATGCCATAGATAGCAAAGAAAACCTTTTGCAGCACAAACAGTGCTCAAAAAAATTACTAATCTCAAGCAGCTCTGACAACAGATACCGATATTCATCTATTGCTGACATGGTATTAATGGTCACTATTGCAAGTGATCCAACTTAGCACAGTACAGCCTTCTTAAAACAGAAGGTATTCACGTCTCATTCCATCACACATCTAAAAATAAGGATGATTCCTCATTTCAGGAGAGTGGACGGGGTCACACAAATAATTGTTTTTCGCCCTTTCAGCCAGTGCAGAATAGGATAAAGCTATTTATTTCAAACTGCATACAACTGTTTCAGGCTATTTGGCCATCATCGGTTCAATGTATGAAATCCATGGCTTCTATGGTTTCTATACACCACCTGCTCTAAAACGGCTCTACCGTACTCTGCACTAATTAGAGTGAGGGCTTTTTGATTCTTTTAGCTTCATAATTCTTACTATAATGCCATTGGGTCCCAAGCCCTACTTCATGAAAGCTATGGTTTCCATGCCCTGCACTGATGATGGACAAATAGCCTGAGAAAGCTGTGTGCAGTTTGGAATAAATGGCTCTATAATATTAGGCTAGATTTGCACTATACACCAGAGTTTCTAGATGTGGATTTGGCCGAAGGGGTGAAAAGCAATGATTTGTATGGGCTGTCCGCTCTCCTGAAATGAAAAAGAATCCTGTTTTTTTTTTAATGCATGCATGTATCTGTACAACAGTATTTTGAAAGGAATATAAACTGGTTTATATATTAGTTATATACATAGTAATTTGCATTCGGTTACAATCAATCATGATTCACTGGCTACTTTACAATGACAACAATCTTAGAAAGCCACATCGGTATACAAGTATTGTGTACCTATCCTGGTTTCTTTGGTACCCTCCAAAACAGTCTTCAACAATGGGAGGCTGGCTCTCAGGCCTGCTCACATATTCCTGGTACTCTGCGTCCTGTTCTGTGAAGCGTTTAATGAACATTTTTTCATACATCTCTTTTATATCAGATGTGTCTGTCATCCTGTAAAAATACACAAAAAGCAAGAGAAAAAGTAAAAGTAAGGACTAAGTAACATACTTCCTAAACATGAAGTGTCAACCCCCTAATAGTGGCAGTTGGTATGACCCACACACCCTTTCAACTTCCATCACTGCCAGATCAGAAGGGCCCTAATCCTCACATATGTAAAGAAAATCTGTACTGACAGATGCATGGAGGTAGACACTGTTGACCTCTCCTTAGGGCCATTCTACTGTCTGGTTGGTGTGCAGATGCCATACTTTATGTATTTTGAGTTATTATCCAGTTAGAAGTATGCAGATCATGCATTTGAACTTGTCTACTTCACTTGCTGCATGATTGTTGCAAGTTCATGTTTCAAATTATGAGAGGCAAAAACAGAATGAACTAGCATATTCAAAAAGGCAGCCAGCGGTAAATGTGTTCTCTAAGAGGAATAGAACATAAATAGGGAGCTTTCATTGCTTATTTGTTTGGGAAAGTGCACATTCCAGAGCTGTCATCCTTGTTTATCCTTTATTATTTGGTTAGGACCTGTGTCAACAGGCTTTTGTTTACTTCAAACAGGTGTTGCATTCCCATTCAGGCCTGTAGGTATGCAAGACCCACTTGAAGCAGGTCAACTGCAGGTCAGATACACCTGTCAATGTCTGAATGATCTCAGAAGCACCTCAGACTGACACAGGCCTTTATACTGTGACCTGTAACAAGCATGTACATACCAGGGGTAAAAGTAGTCAAAAGAGCAGTAACCGTCACCCTGCAATTTGTGTTTACTTGTGTCAGTAAACACAAATCGAAATGACTAACTCCAGTTTTTAAAGATCCATATCCTTCTCTGTTCTGAAGTCATTCATGCTTGTCTTACGATGTCGTTTCTCTAAGTCCCTGTTCACACCTGGGCGTTTTGACGCTGAAAGCTTAAGCGTCAAAACACAGAACACAAGAATTCCTATTCATTTCTATGGCCCCTGTTCACACCTGAGAGTTTAGCAGCAAGCTGTTAAAAAGCTGAACCCTGGAAAAGGTGCATGAGCTTCTTTCAGGCAGATTCAGCGCGTTATGCTCCATAGATTTCAATGGAAAACACGCCAAAGACGCGCGTGTGGGGTTTTCGCGCGTTTTTTTGCAAAAAGAACGCACGTTTTTAAGGTGCATATACATTGTGTAAGACCACCTGCAAAGCACACTGGGAAACAAAATGGATGATTCATGTCTGTCAAGTTTCGATTCTGAGGCATTTCTAAGGCTAATACAGGCACAACCATGCCTGTATGACCTGCGGAACCCCCTTTATAATACAGAGGAAGGAGGAGGCGGGGCTTGGATACAAATTGCTTGCCAGATTTGGCCAGAATGGGAATCTTTGCCTCCATCCCTGAAGGGCAGCAAAGGTAAAACATGTGCATGCGACATGTGGTGCATCTAAAGTTTGTTGTGATACTGTTGTAGCTTATGTTTCTGCTTGCTTGTGTGGCTATTGTAGGTCTGTGCAGCTGCAGATCTCCATGTGTTATGGAATTACAAATCCCAGTATGCAGCTACCTCTGGGTGTCATGCCTGTTTCTTTTCTGGGTGTACAGACTTTTATATGCATCACAGTACCTGTAGCTCCACAGCTGCTGAAAGGCTGACGTTGTTAACCCCTTGGCTAATGTGTAGTTATTTTAGTATGTCATGGGCAGGACTTCTTTTCATTGCACAACACTCAATACACCCATATGCAGAAACACGTCCAAAGCGCGCATCTATTTCGGGATAAACGGACAAGCACGTAAAAACGCACGGAAACGCTGACGCCTAGGTGTGAATGGGAACTGACGTTGAATGGAAGGGTCTGCTTCCATCACCAGCTACTGTAGGAGCTAATAGCATTGCTTCAATTGGAGTTCTGGCATCAGAGTGCAGCTTTTTGGGATTTACAGACTGAAAACATTAGGAGCATGGGCAGGCACACGGTTCCTCTCTTCAGTGGGCGTTTTGGAACACCGGGAATGAGCAATGTCATTTTCCTCATATTCTGCAAATTGACATGCTGACACACAATGCACAAGTACATGGAGAGCAACACTGCGCTTCCCCTAATGTACCATTAAACAATACTGAGCTATTCTCCACTGAATATAAACTAGAAGCTGCATGATGGTGTACAGCAGCACAATGGGAGGACACGGGCAGAGAGAGGCAGGACTTTCAGAAAAGAGCATCTACTCTCTGCTGATCGCCATTCTGCAGCTTCTAGCTTCTGTAAAATGGAGAATAGCCCAGGGAAGAAAAGACATAACTTACAGGTTCAACGCATTGTTTGTAACTAACTTGGGAACAATACACTGTGCTGTTTAAAAAAAAATAAAAAAAATTGATATTGATTGTACAATTTCTTTGAACAGCATGTTGAGGAACCTAGAAAAATTTTCTGCTTCCAATGTATTTGTAAGCATTCAATTGATCATTGTGGTATAACCTGTATGTGGACTTTCAACTACTGTATACACAAATGAGTCTCTTGTATTTGTAACTATGGCTTTTATATTTCAATTGTAATAAAAAATATTTTAATTCTTTATGAACATCGAGTGAGAATCAAGCATCTTAAAATCCCAAGGCTTTGCGAACCTGGGTGAGGAAAAAAAAAATCTTTGTTTTTGTGACTATTACTGGGGGTGTGAAACGTGTTCTCGCTCCTACTAATACACCTGTATTGTATTTGTTTAAATACAAAATGTCTATTCTTTGTGGATTTTAAATTCAGATTACCCTATGTATATATGAAAAGATTATAGCGCAGAATAGGTTTTAAACCCGACAAGCACGTCCGAGCCAGTCCCTGACCATCCTACTACTGAGACGAGGAGAGCTCGGACGCAGAAGAAAGAGCAGAGCACACAGAAAATACCACGATGTCTGAACGCAGTACCGATCTCAACACGAACTCACCTGACACCGTTCCAAACACAGCACCGCACAATAACAAACCTGCAAAGAGAAACAGCGATCACGTGCTAGATGGCGCAGGCTAGTGACGTCATCCGAACTTTACCAACTGCGCCTGTAGACAAGAGATACGAGCTGCGTGGGATGGGCGTGGTTTACAGGGCGGTGGGCGTGGTTTACAGGGCGGTGGGCGTCGCTGAGATGGTCCGGTTTATCATGCGGTGCAGAGGGTTCGTTCGTTGCAAGAAATTGCTCGCTCTCCGTGTTTTGTATTAGGGGGACATTTGTCTTTTTATTCATTGATGCCTTTCTATATACTTTTATAGAAGAGAGAGAAGCAGAACGTGTGTAATAAGAGAACACAGAAACAGTGTCAGAAAACCCCAAAAATAAAAAAACACAAGGACTTTAATGCAGAGGTGCAAATACAGGTCATGGGGCCCCATAGCAAAATTTGGATGGGGGGCCTTCTACAGTATTTCATGTTAGCATTGAGTGTGTTCATAGCAGGGAGAGGTACAAGGAGAGCTGCCAGCACAATCACTACATTGCTAGGGACCAGTGAGGTGTGGAGGCTTGCTACAATCTCAGCACTAAGGCCTCGTTCACACCTGAACGCTTTGTAGCGCGTTCTACGCTTGACGAACGCTCTACAAAACGCTCAAACATCTAAATCCCATTGTATTCAATGGGTCTGGTTCACACACCCTTGGGCGTATTTCAGCCCGTCCCTAACGCGCTACAAAACGGCCCACGCCTGAAAAGGTACATGTACTACTTTGGGCCGTTTTTGTTGCGCGTTTCCATTGGTATACAGCCAAGTAGCCCTCGGAAACACGCAATACGCCTAGGTGTGAACCAGGCATAAGGGCTTGTTCACAGACGTCTGGATTCTGTCCTGACCAGATCCGTGCGCTCATGCACCCAAAATGTATCCCTATCTGTTTTATGTGCTACAGTTCTCACAAGCGCAGTCCGGACAGAAAAAATACTGCATGTCACATTTTGTCCGGTCCGGAGAACACATCAAAAACGCACTGCATGTATAGCACCGTGTCTCCAGATCTGGACCAGAAATCGTGTGAACAAGCCTTTAAGCCCATGCAAAACTGTTGCTGACCCAACCAAGACCCCAGTTGTGACGGGCGAATTCTCCTCTTTGTGACATGTAGCTATGGGTCAGGGAATTCCCCTGCTGCAACTGATTGGGCCAAGATGGGGGTGTGATGTGAACTTATATAGCCCATGCAAAACTGTAACTGACTCACCCTTCTCTTGGCCCAATCATTTGCAGAAGGGGCATTCTGTCCCCTGAAGCTACACCTTACAAAGGGAAGGAAAATGCCCCTGCTGCGACTGATTGGACCCAGAGCAGGGGGTATCAGTCACAGTTTTATACTGGCTTGACCAAACTCAGGTGAACTGGGTTCACACTGCATATCACCTCTAGGGACCAGTGCAGTGAACAGAAGTTATTTCACAAACTCACAACACCCTCCCGACCCCTCCAGTGACCGCTGCACTTTTCTTTTGTCAGGACCATCTTCCTCCACCTATGCCAGCCGGTGTAATGGACCGCACACTTCAAAACTTTGCTACACTGCCCTGTAAGCTATGCTGCATCATAATGCTGGCCATGGCATGCAGTGGCTGCAGCAATGTGGGCAGTGGCTGCAGCAGGTGGGAACCATGCCCATAGGAAATAATGGGATTTCACTTGCTGGGCGTTTTACAGCGCTTCGATCAGCACTGAAAAACGCCCAGGTGTGAACCAGGTCTTAGAGTGATCAACTTGAATGAACGGCATTCCTTGCTGACAGTGCTACATTTATACCGCTTTTTTCTATGAATCATTTTTGCTCAGGAGAGGGCAGTAGAGTACTTCTGGGAAACATCACATTCCAGATTCATAGACAGCATGTACCATGAATCCTTTTTCTTTTTAAGGATAATTGTCATAGGAGAAACCACAGCCAGAACTGATTTATATTTTTGGGGTCAGCATCTAACAGAGAATCATAATGTCCATGTGTGAGCTGCACTCCTTCTAGCCCTTGGCAGGAAT